GTGAGAGCATTCCTTGGACTTGAAGTATGAAGATGAGTTCTAGGAAATGTCTTTCTCTTCAAAATTAGCTTTGGATGGAATTTTTCTGATAATCCATGTGAAAGTTATGCCCTGGTCAATTTACAGTTGACTTTTTCAGCTGTCCAAATAAGGAAACTTTTGCATCTTGATGATTTTTGAGCCAAGCTTTAAGAATCATGATCAAGCATTGATCAAATTATGTTTGTGGCTTCAAAATGATATGTTGATCAAAAATTTGAACTTTTGACTGTCAAATGACCATTTTGCCCCTACAGTTGACTGTGGTGCAATTAGGGTTTTTGACTGTGTATTTTTGTGCTGAATGTCTTGAAACTTTGTATGAGGATGCTTGACCCTATTTGTAGGCATGTGAGACTTGATTGGGCCTTTGGAAACTTCATTTTCTTGATCAGAATAAAAACCCTAATTTTGACTGCTTAAGAGGCCCTTGAACTATGCAACCCTTGGGGAATTTTGAAGCTTGGCTTTGCAATTTCTTGAAGAATATGGGAGGGCAAATTTTGGGGTACAACAGTTTCCCCTGTTCAATCTTCTTAGACCTGAGGATGTAGATTGGCTGACGTGCCTTTCGTAATCCGAAGGTGGAAGATGATTGAACACTAGAGTGCCCAGAAATGTGCGCTCACATAGTAGCAGTGATGGTGGAAATGGGCTTATAGATGCCATTTAGAGATTGATGGGGGATGATGGGCTTATAGATGCCATCTGGATATTGATCGCGTAAGAGATTCCTTAGCGAGAACTTGCGTACCTGCAAAATAGAAAATGATTACCTGACACGTTGCAGGAGCTGATTTTCAGATTCTTGGTATAGATGTGTCCTAATTGGTTACAGGAGCTGAGTCTGGATCTTCAAAAGGTGATGAATGAAACAGGGGTGGTTACTACCTTAGCATGGACGGTAAGAGAACCTTGGGTGACTTTAACTTCAACAACGCTCGTTGAGAAAATCTTGGTGGGAATTACCATCTTCGCAATATCGGGAAGAGAATCAAAGGAAATTATAATCGTCGGGGAGAGAACCATAGGAAACTATAACCCGAAAGGGAATTACATCTCACGCACCGTCGGGGAGAGGACCATAGGAAATCATAACCTGAAAGGGAATTACATCTCACGCACCGTCGGGGAGAGGACCATAGGAAACTATAACCTGAAAGGGAATTACATCTCACGCACCGTCGGGGAGAGGACCATAGGAAACTATAACCTGAAAGGGAATTACATCTCACGCACCGTCGGAGAGAGGACCATAGGAAATCATAACCTGAAAGGGAATTACATCTCACGCACCGTCGGGGAGAAGACCATAGGAAATCATAACCTGAAAGGGAATTAAATCTCACGCACCGTCGGGGAGAGGACCATAGGAAATCATAACCTGAAAGGGAATTACATCTCACGCACCATCGGGGAGAGGACCATAGGAAATCATAACCTGAAAGGGAATTACATCTCACGCACCGTCGGGGAGAGGACCATAGGAAATCATAACCTGAAAGGGAATTACATCTCACGCACCATCGGGGAGAGGACCATAGGAAATCATAACCTGAAAGGGAATTACATCTCACGCACCGTCGGGGAGAGGACCATAGGAAATCATAACCTGAAAGGGAATTACATCTCACGCACCGTCGGGGAGAGGACCATAGGAAATCATAACCTGAAAGGGAATTACATCTCACGCACCGTCGGGGAGAGGACCATAGGAAACTATAACCTGAAAGGGAATTACATCTCATGCACCGTCGGGGAGAGGACCATAGGAAATCATAACCTGAAAGGGAATTACATCTCACGCACCGTCGGGGAGAGGACCATAGGAAATCATAACCTGAAAGGGAATTACATCTCACGCACCATCGGGGAGAGGACCATAGGAAATCATAACCTGAAAGGGAATTACATCTCACGCACCGTCGGGGAGAGGACCATAAGAAATCATAACCTGAAAGGGAATTACATCTCACGCACCGTCGGGTAGAGGACCATAGGAAATTATAATCTCAAAAGCGGACGTTTGAGAAAAACCTGGAATGGAATTATCATCTCCACAACATTGGGGAGAGAACCATAGGAAATTATAATCTCAAAAGCGGACGTTTGAGAAAAACCTGGAATGGAATTATCGTCTCCGCAACATTGGGGAGAGAACCATAGGAAATTATAATCTCAAAGAAAAACCTAAAATGCTTCTACTGAGTCTTCATCAGAAAAATCTGTTGGGAGTCGATTTAGCTGGACTAGAGAAGGCCTTGGACTGGATAAGAAATCTTTGGAGTCGATTAACTGAACCGGTCTAGGTTTTGAAATATGATGGAGAATTTAGCTGAATCTTTCCTGAAAGGTAAAGGTCAGTCATATGCAATGTATGATATGGACCAAGCAATGATGTTCTCAACATAAATGAGATTTGCATGATATGATACGTCCATGCATGCTATAATGATGTATGTGATGTTTATGTATGCTTTCGTCTAGGAAAGTAAATCCTTGACGGGTGCCGGGAAGTCACTCCTGGGCTGATGTTGAAGAATAAGCTTTTACTTCCGCTGGGGATGATAGTTGCAAGAATACCGGTAGGAGAAAATGACTCCTTTGAGGAATACCCTTGGCGAATGGAAGAGTCTGCGGGGAGAAAAATACTCTAGCGATCATGCTGGGGAGAAATATTCTGTGGGGAGAGAGATACTTTGCTGAATTGTTGATAATTACTTGTTGGGGACATCCTTGTTGTATTGGAACTGTTGATAGACTTCACTGAGGGTAAGAGAATTTCGTCGAGGACGCTCTTTCCATGGCTTTTGGCTGAGGATAACCCAGTTATATCCTGTTAAGGAAATAACTTTGAATAAAGCCGGACGACGTGTTCGTGCTCTGCGAGGATAAGCTTCCAGAATTTACTGGGGATAAGCTTACTGCTGGGGGATATGAATTCCAACCTTCCTGGGGAATTGGATTGGACTCTCCTGGGGAAGTTTTGTACTGCATCGGGGAAGTGACTCTATTGAATGTTGATAGAACGCTGGGGAATCAATCTTTAGACCAAGACTGCCGGGGATGCTTGTTAAGAATATATGCTGCCGAGGAATGTTGAGATCTGCTGGAGTATACTCAACTTCCTTAAGGCCTGATAATATAACTTGGAGAGAGTGTACTGTCTTGCTGGCTTACTCTCTGGGGAATTAAGATGTCTAGTTATGTTCTTTAGCTGAACCTATCTTGGTACCTTGGAGGATGGAACAATTAGATTGTTTAGACAACTCCTTATTGCCCCTGTTTCTATGGGAGATGAAGACCTGTGAGGTACTGATAGTTGTTGAGGGTCAAACCTTCTTCTGGTAGGCGGGTGATAAGATAACAGGACATAGTCGTACGCTTTGATCCCTAACTTTTGCCTGGACCGCCCTTTCGGGTTTTCAGTCCACCGGGATACCCATTTTTGCCCAAGCCGCCTTTTCAGGTTTTCGACTTGCCGGGTGTAAAAATCTTTCATTTTATCCCTTATTTTTGCCCGAACCCTTTTGGTTCGCCGGGAAGCCCTTATTTTTGCCTAGGTGTGTCAACCTAGCGGGTCTTTGATTTTGCGTAGTATTTTTTCGACTATGTCCGTGCTTTCAGAATGTAGGGAGTTGCCCCTGTTAGAAGTGTTTTGTCATGCCACCAGAAGGTATTTGATCAGGCAAGATTCGTTGTTGGAATGCCCCAAGTAACTCAGGCGGAGATTTGCCCCAGACTATCTGGCCTTTGAGAGATTCTCCGAATCTTGATTGGACTGCCCCAGATAATGGACCATGGTCATGTCTGCCCCTTGATTGGAAGTACTTATGTTCATTAGGCATTCGTCGTGCGAGTTTCTATGTTGTTCAAACAAAAAGTCATATGCAAACAAAGTTATGTTAAAAATGCAAAGCCTATGCCTGTCTTGAAGATTTTGAAAACGCATTCTTTTTTCATAAAACAAATGAATGTTTGTAAAACGTGATGTCAACTCCGTATTTACCGTAGGCCTTAAGGAGTCAGGATACCTTTTGTAACAGTATGCTTTCGAACTAACCCATGCTTCAGCTAGGACTTTTAAGGGTTATAACGTAGCCTGGTTCACGGTTTAAGAAACAAAGGATAAAGGCTCAAATTTTATTTGTACCCACCCGCTCTTCGTGATGTTCTCCACACCTAAACTCAGTTGATCATACGTTAGACCTTGTTTGAGTCTTTGTTCTGATGTTCCAATGATGGTTCAGATATTGATGATTTATTTTGAACAAGCAGTCATTTTTTTTGTTATTGAGGGTTGGTAGGACCTCTTTCTTTTTTGATTTTGTTTATCCCTATTTTTTTTGCCTGAACTATTTCCTTTTTTGGAATTATAGTCAGCGGGATGCCCCAGTTTCGTAAGTCCCCTTTATAGGTTTTGACTTTTTGGGCTTTTCATTTATGAATTTGATAATGACTGCCTGTCTTTATCGATTATTCGGAACCATCACTGTCTTTCTTCGTTTTGTAAAGATCTCTTCGGTGCCATTCGTCATGCACTTGGATCAACTGAGAGACTACCCTGCCCCAGGTTATGATTAAGGGTTTTAATTTTCGAAAAGAAAAAACTCCTACTTCTTTGGCTCAAAGGGGTTGACGAGGGATTATCTTCCTTATAACTCCAGTGTTTAGGGATTTGAAATAATGCATGTACCTCATCAGCGGGGTCTGTTCAAAAGCATACTGTAGATTGTGGTATTGTTTTCGTCATCCTCCCTCAAGAGGCTTAGCATTATTAACCAAGAGTTGATCATCAGAAAAAATATGAAAATAATTTGCGTATAGTGAATACGAATATATTGCTTCAAAACAGACATATGCGATGCATTAATGAAATAACAATGAGTAAATGTTTGAACAAAAGAAAACTGCAACTTGAACATTCGAATGAACAAAAATTCTTCTCATCTCCGGGCTTGTTACTTCAAATGGTGCCTCCTGTAGGGATGGTAGTAGCACTCAGCCCGGCCATCTTGGGTGAATTCCACAGCTCCTTCCTCAATCAAGTCCTGGATCTTATTTTTCAGAGTCCAACAATCCTCTGTAGCATGCCCCGGGCTGTCAGAATGATAAGCGCAGTGAGCGTTGGGGTTATACCTTGAAGGTGTCCTGTTGGGATTCTTAGGAGGATCCTTTAGAGTTACCAAGTTCAACCTCAGCAGTTGTTGTAAGGCTTGAGGCAGCGACACGTTGAGCTTGGTGAATTGCCTTTTGGGCTTGTCTGGTTGAAGCTGGTGAGGTTGATACTGAATTGGTGATACTGAAGCCATATGAGGAGCTTTCTCCTTGCCTCTTTGTCTCAAAGATGGTCGAACGATGATTGGCTTTTTACCCTTAGACGTTTGCCCCAGTTGGTTACCCTGAAGCAGTTGGTTGATGAGAACCCCGAGCTCTTCTTGTCTTTGAGCTAACCCTTGAATGGCAGTCACCTGCCCCAGCATCTAGACCCTCAATGCATCCACCTCAGCTTGTAGGTGTTTCAGCCTTTCATCCTCAACACTGTTCCTGACAAAGGTCTCCATGAGAAGTGTCCTTAGCTCCTCCTGCCCCTTGGATAGATTCAGGAGGATTTTCCCGAACCGAGTCTCTTGAGCAAGAAGGTCCTGGTTATCTTGTTGTGAAGCCATTGCTGAAATAAACAGCGAGAAAGGTAAGTGACCTGCAACAAAGATACCTGTTATGTAATGATGTGTATGACATGCATGCAATGTTTTCAAGGATCCCGCGGGGTAAACAAGAAAATTTGTTAGAACTCGGGTCCGGTAGTTTGATTGAAGGAACTGCATGTTGTTGAGAGTCCTTCTTCAAAGGGTCAAAGGCTCACCATATCAAGTGGGTCATAGCCCCTGACTTTAGTCATCAACCTTGTTTTTTCTTTCCAAACAACCTTGGCTAGGGGAACCTTCTTCAAGAGTCAGAGCTCACCATATCAAGTGGGTCATAGCCCCTGACAACTTTGGCTAGAGGAAAATAAATCCTCTTTGCCCCTTGCTAGATGTTCGATTCATCATGACCTGCATCACAAGCCCTTGAGATCCATGAAATGAGTTAGGATGTATGCAATGGTATGATGTCATGATGCATGGGGTGATATGAATAAACCCTGTTATGAGCCCTTATTGAGGACTACAAACTAAAACCTGCAAGAAGCTTAGGATACCCTGTTATGAGTCCCAATTAAGGACTATAAACAAAACCTGCAAGAAATTTAGTACACCCTGTTATGAGTCCCAATTGAGGACTATAAACAAACCCTGCAAGAAACTCAAGTGTCAGACAACAAGCATGCAAATAGCCAAGTACGAAGGCACACAAGTCACGCAAGAGAAGCCCTTAGAGTTTAGGCCAGCCTGGGGTCTGGGTAGTACCCTCTTGAAGTTGGTGGGTTCAACCTGTCCTATTAGAAGTAACCGGGTTCTAAGGGTCCCAATATCACGGGATTGTTTTCATTGTTCATCGTTCCGATTTAGCCACTGAACTGGCGACCGAAATATTCCAGGAAAGCAACCCTCAATTGGGTGTAGTATCGAGTATCAACCAACCTCGGACTGCACCAAAGTCAGTTATCTCACTACCCTAAAGAGGCCAAGATAGTTCAATTAAGGTTCCTAAGGTCTGTTGATGCTTCACGACACCACGCGGAGGCCCCGTACTCTCCTTGACTGAACTCAAGGGTTACCGGTACACACCAAAGTGCCACATCAACGTAGCAGACTGTTTCAACCATGTCGGTATACCCCGCACAGTTCCCTCACAGCCTTGTTGCTACTTTCTAAGAAGGTATCCCCCAGATCCGGGTTAGGATCTATAGAACTCCCAAACAATCCACAATTTAAAGCACACAAGGAAAACAATTGAAAACATTGTTATGAACTAGCCCTAAGGTACACCTCACTTTATAAGTTTGTCCCCAGCAGAGTCGCCAGTTCTGTGATCGGTGGATCTGGAACTGACTGTTTAACGCTGGTTCGCGAAATGTCGCGGAAGCAAGAGTCGCCACCGTCTTTTATTTTCTCCAAATGGAAAGGACAAAAGCACAGAAAAATTCCTTATAGAGATTGCTCTCGGTTCGGGAGGTAGGTTATAGAAAGGGAAGGTGTTAGCACCCTTTCTATCCATGGTTATCCATGGGCTCTTAGATACTTGCTCATTTGTGTTTTCAAAATGGTTTGTTTGCTTTTCAACTGTGGGTTTTTAAAAAAAGTTTCTTTGAAAATTTCAGTTCGACTCTTGTATCGGTCCTCAAGAGTGTTTGAAAAATTGCTTTCGAAAGCTTTTTGAAAATGTGCTGGTGTGAAAAGTATTTTTTGATTTGTTTTGAAATTTAGAGAAAGTATCTACGAGAACCTACCTACCCTAAGGAATTCGTCTGTGTAAATGTCCTTTAAAGTAGTGCCATCCCACCATTGAGAGGTAGGTAGCACCACCGTTGGAGGTGTTCGGGTCAATTCGAGGTTCGAGACATGGTGATCACCAGAGCAATGGGAAGACACCTTAGAAGCTACCCTCATGCCAGGTTTCCGGATCATGAGGACTTACTAAGACATCCTCTACTCGACGATCACCTTTCGAGGCAAGGCAACAGTGAGGCGTACCCTAGGGGTGGTGTGTACGATTCGTGTGTCGTTTTCGTTTGCATTTATCTTGTCATGTTATTGGTGTTCTACGCTTGTTTTTATTTTTGTCCATACATTCTTTCATGCCATTTGTTAACAGTTAAAAATATTGCGGGAAAGGAAAAGATCTAAGCTATTACAAAAGGCGCGGGTCCACATCGCCAAAATTAAACCAGGACCCGATTTGACAGAAAATAAATAAAGAAAAGAAAAGTGCGAGAAAATTAAAAGGTTACATGGCCTTGGGAGAGATACATAAATATTTAAACGAAATAAAATAAATATGCGAATTAATAAGAAATTAAGAACGAGGGCGTTGGACCCTTTTGCAGAAATTAAATTAATGATGGAGTTAATTAATTAAAAAAAGAAAGAACTTGTTTTTTTGGTATTTTTAGTATTTTTGAGTTTAATAGAAAAAGGAATTAATTGAAATTAAATGCTAACCCTAATTCTATTTTATTTTTAATTTATTAAGAAAATATTGAATTTTAACCTAAATTAACCCTAATTTTTATATACAAATTTAATTATAAAAATAAATAAAATATTTAATTATTTAATTATTTATGAAAGAAAAATAAAAAGGATGAAAAAATTACTAATTAAACCCTAATTCTACATTTTTTAGATTTTTTATTAAAAGTATTAAAATTAAACCTAATTTACACTAAATTTAATTATATGCATTTATTTATGAAAATACTAGAAATAAAAATATTTATTATTTTAATTCTTTTCTGATTTTTATGTGTATTTTTTATATTTATGAAAATAATTAATTAATTAAACAAAATAATTAAAATAAAAATAGAAATAATGCAAAAGAAAATATTTTTTAAAAAAAAGCAAACCTAGGGGGGTGTCAGTCCCCAATGTGGAGGTATGGCCTTTAGCAATCTGGCCCATTTAAATTCCTGGCCTTGTGGACTTTTTTACTCACGTGCAGAACGTTGACTAGAGCCTACCATAATCTCCAAATCATGGCCCTTGGATGGATGACATTGGACGCGTGCATGGCTGGATAGAGGGACGTATGATGATCCACAACGTTATGCCTGCACATGAATATCATTTGAAAAAAATTATATGGAAAGGGTGGGGACCTGGGGCTCGAACCCAGGTCCTAGAGATTACCAGCTTGATGCATTGCCAATTGGACTGAACGCGCTTCTTGTATATTAATGAACTGAAGAATAATATAATAAGAACATAATGGTTAGTGGAAATCAGCGCGCGAAATTTAAACTACCCTATCACATCTCGCCACTTCATCGTCTCCTTCGTTGGTTTTCTTTTTTCCTGAAATACACAAAACATTGGCAACGGTTTTCACGCGTTGCCTAAGACACCATACAAGAAAATAGCGATTAGGCATGGAACGCTCATAAATTGGGCGCGACACATGGATTCTCTTCGTCCAGACGCGCTCGTTTTAATGGTCAAGGTCCCAAGTCTCAATTTTTCCTTATTTGAAAAGCCCTAATCCAAGGTCCTGTAAACCCTAGAAATTGACAATGGTAGAATCGTATACAATGCATAATAATTCAATCAAATCACATGGTTAGCTTTAGAATCATACAAGGAACATGAATCAAACATTAAAAAAGGCTAAATGCGCATGAATTGGAATGCACGATTATGGAAAAAAAAGTGAGAAAGGTTAGCTTATGTACAACGATTCAAGAGGTTATGTTTGATGTTTTTGATCCAGGAAGATTGCTTGAGGTCTTAGGAGTGCAATGGGATGAAAATTTCGCCTTGAATCGTCCTGCAAAGATGTTTTCAGTTATGAGTTTTTTGCAAAAAATTCCAAGTTTGATGAATGGTTTCTAGCGCAGCTTTATGGTCCATGGGATTAGGTTTGTGTTTAGGCTTATGTATTGAGTGAATTAGGTTAACAATTCTGATCAAAATCTCTTTCATTCATGGATTTTGAGATTTGATTTTCAAGATCTTTTTTCAAATATTTTCCATGTGTTTTTGTACAAATTATGATCAATTCTCTCCAAATCTTTCCATATTGGGTTATGCACAAATTATTGAGGATATTTCATGCACAAAAAGATTGTAAAACTTAGGTTAAATATTTTTCATGTATTTAATTTGATTTAAATGAATTATTATTAATAAAAATTCAAATAAATAAATAAAAAATGAAGAAATACTTCCCTTTGGGCCAAGTGGTCGTGCACATGCCATGGATGATGAATTATGGAAGAAAAATGGGCCCATTGGCAATTTTAGGTCATTTGAATCAATGTTGACTTTTCAAAATACCCAAAAATTTCCCAACTTCTACAAGGCATAACTTGCTCAATTTTTAAGCTTTTCTCATGTTCTTGGACATTTTGGAAAGGTCTTTGAGTCCTCTAACCAATGCCTTTGGTCCCATGTCATTTTGATTTACCAATCTCAAGTTATGGCCTTTGACTTAAAGTCCCTTTTTGTTGACTTTTGAAAATGACCTATAATGTTGAAATTGATAACTTTTTGTGAGAGCATTCCTTGGACTTGGAGTATGAAGATGAGTTGTAGGAAATGTCTTTCTCTTCAAAATGAGCTTTGGATGGAATTTTTCTGATAATCCATGTGAAAGTTATGCCCTGGTCAATTTACAGTTGACTTTTTCAACTGTCCAAATAAGGAAACTTTTGCATCTTGATGATTTTTGAGCCAAGCTTTGAGAATCATGATCAAGCATTGATCAAATGATGTTTGTGGCTTCAAAATGATATGTTGATCAAAAATTTGAACTTTTGACTGTCAAATGACCATTTTGCCCCTACAGTTGACTGTGGTGCAATTAGGGTTTTTGACTGTGTATTTTTGTGCTGAATGTCTTGAAACTTTGTATGAGGATGCTTGACCCTATTTGTAGGCATGTGAGACTTGATTGGGCCTTTGGAAACTTCATTTTCTTGATCAGAATAAAAACCCTAATTTTGACTGCTTAAGATGCCCTTGAACTATGCAACCCTTGGGGAATTTTGAAGCTTGGCTTTGCAATTTCTTGAAGAATATGGGAGGGCAAATTTTGGGGTACAACAGACCTCCTTGGTCGTGGGTGGACGCCTCATGGCATAACCTAATTGGCAAAGAGAGAGTACTGGATTGTAGTTGATAACCCCTTTTGTTCCCATGAGCGGAACATTAGAGAAACCTGCACAGTGAGAGATGACTTCGGAGCTATCCACCTTAAGTTTGTACCATTGGATATCGAAAGAGGTGAGCGTCATTACTTTGGACGCCCATGAACGAGGATCTTCTTTGAATGGCCCTTTGGTGGGTAATTGTGCCATGAACCATTTGTAAAGCATAGGTGTACAGCATACCACTACTCCTTTCTTTCCATGCCTGGAGTGGATGGTGTGGTAAGTATCTGCTAATAGCGTAGGTATATGATTCTTATTCATGAAGACGCAAAGAGAAGCCAAGTCTATGATTTCTTTAATCTCTGGGAATAAGACAACCCCGTAAATGATACCAGCCAACAGAGCATAATAAGCATCCCAATTTCATGCGTTTGCCATTTCCTTAGCCTTACTTACCAAGAAATCTACAGGAAGACCACAAGTGACTTTGTTACGTCTCCATTTCCCTTTTACATCGTTAAGGCTCAAATAAAGAACCTTAGCAATGGCCTCAAAGTCAGGCTAAATAGGGACTCGAACAAATGGAACATGACTGGTGAGCTTAATGTGGAGAAGATGAGCATACTCCTCAAGAGTAGGTGCTAACTGGTAGTCTTGAAATGTGAAACAACGCAACTCCGGATCATAAAATTGTAACAAAGTATGTACAGCCTTATCGTCAACCCGAGCATCCAATAAAGATAGGAGATTCCCATATCTTTCACCAAAAATGCCTATTTGTTGACAATTCATGAGGTCTTTGAGCTCTTCAAGAGAGGGCCAAATACTAGGACAAAACTGATAGACGAAGTTATCCCTCTTTGTCTTTAGGATGATATCAATGTTGTTTTCCATTCTTTAGAGGAAAAGAAAACCCTAAAGAGATCCTGGAAATGACAATGTGCATGCGAATTAATTATCGACATATATATATTTTTTGAAAAGTAAATATGCTATGATGTATGTGCAAATGATTATGGGGTTACTAATTCCATGATACTGATTCATGTTGTACTGCCTCTTCACATTCTGTTAATACCGAGATTACAGGTCTGAAACGTAACCGGAAGAAATCCATGAAGATCATAGTTGGATCCTCAGAAAATAAATTTGAGAACCTCATAATTGTTGGTAGAAATCCAGGACATAACCAAAAGTAACCGTCTGAATATAGTCACTAATTGTACCTGTGATAAGAATTCCCTCCCCACTCACGTGTGAAGACTAGGTCAGGGTAAGACAATGGTAACTCGAAAATCACGGGCTCGCTTGAAAGTAAAATCATCGCAACACAAACGTACATGAAAGTACCTCCAATTGAACCTCATCCGAGCGTGGTATATGACATGACTGCACTAATCGGACCACGTCCTATAGCCGTCGTGCCCCCACTCTATTCTTAGGTGTCCTAGTGCACTCTGGCTTGGGTACTGGGCCTTTTACCTCAATAGTAACATCCCCACCCAAACAAAAAGCAGATCCAGTACACCAGCAGTATATGGAAGACAGTAAAATGTAATACATACATATGCACAAGTATATTTAAAATGAACGAATAAACTGAAAGCATAAAAATAAACACCCAAAGAAAAGAAAGCAAGATCTAGGAGCGACTCCGGGATGGACCAGCATTTGGTCGACTTATCCCCAGTGAAGTCGCCAGCTGAAACAACTGGCTGAAAATCATGAAACAATGAAGTCGTCATCGAACGTCTTTTATCCCACAGGAGAGAAAGGTAAACATCGAGAAAACCTGAGAAGGGAGAAAGTCACGGTCTTGCGACCGAGAGATCGGGTAAGGAAGTCTGTTACGCGGGGGGAAGGTATTAGCACCCCACACACCCGTAGTACTCTACGGTATCCACTCTTGTTATCTATCTTATGGGTGTGTTTGATCTATGCTTATTGTCTACTATACTACTACTAAAGGGAGAATGTATGCAAAAGGAAGGAGAAAAGAAGGTAGGGAAAATAAAATTGTGCTCGTTCAGCTCATATGTTTTTGTTGGTTTGTATTTTTTAATGAACAACGTTAATTTCGCCTTCTGCCGCAATTCGATCTTTGGAGACTTACGCGTCAGCACAGAAGTGAATTAACTTGTTCTTTTGAAAAGGTTTTGAAAGAAAGGCCCGAAGGCAAAAAGAGTTTGTATTGGTTGGTGTTTTTCTCTCGTATATAACAGTTATTTGATCTCAAGAGATATTAGCCATTTTTCTACTTATTCATGAAATGAGTCTTTGAGACTTGAACCATGTCAAGGCTTAGAATGGAAAAACGATAAGATCGGGAAGAGACTCGCTTATCATCTCCCATGTTCAACAAAGGCATGATTCTCATCAGTAATTTTTAAGTATTTTCGAAGTTTGTAAGAAAAAGAAGTTTTAGTTTTAGTGCAAATGCAAAAGGGGAAGAATAGTCAGGGGGAGTCTAGCCTATTTCTAAACCTAATATTACTATGCATTGTTAGATCTAAAGTTAGAATTTTGAGGGAATTTTACCTAATGTTTGCATGCTTGGATTTAGAATCCTAATATTTAATTTTAATTCAATTAAATTGAAGATTAAATTTGAACTGAAATCGCCTAAGGGATCATGAAAGACTATACAAACATGTAAAACTAAGCAACGAGTATTAGAATATTTCATACAATTTATACCAAAAATCACAAACGAATTACATGACCTAAAATGAGTAAAAACTAATGATTAAAATTGACTAAAAAGTTAGTAAAAGGGGAAATAAATTCCTAATTAATTTCTAGAATGCCTTATAGTATTTTTTTATCATTTTTTATTATGTATTTTTGTTATATAAAAAAAATCATAAAAGAAGGAATTAGAAATAATTATAAAAAGAAGGTAAGAGAAACATGGGGTGAAAATTATATTTCAGGAGGGTGCAGAAATCAGGGCGCTAAGCCTATTTCAGAAAGTCCAAAATGTATTTTTATTTTTCTTCAACTCAGATTCCAAACAAAAGTAACGGGCCTAGGGGTGTATTACGGAATAGCTCAAGGCCTAGTGAACCTTCTCCACACTCGGTCCACATAACCATCACCATTAGATTTTATTATTGATTCCAAAAATTAAATAAAAATTTAATTAAAACAAAATAGCAGAGGGAAATTGAAAGGGGAAATTAATTCGTAAGATTAGGGTTGAGATAAAGCCTCTTATGCAGCCTCTTATTCTTCATTGTTCAACTTCGTTATCACCACCACTAACCTCCATCAATATTCGTCTCAAACTCTTTGACGAATCATCAACACCACACCTCAACACTACACGGTTGTTCTTATTCATCTCAAACTCACAAGGTTTGCTCGCGATCAAACACCAGAATATCTAGCGCATAGATGATGATAAATGAAGGTTGTAGGCTTACCGATCAGAGTCTGTCTAATGTGGTTTTAACAGCGATGATAAGGAGAAGACCAGAGGAAACTCTTTAGCAATTCAAGTATGCGTCTCGGCTTCTTGCTTCGAATCGTATTTGCTCACTCATTATTCTTCTTCTTCACGCTTGATATTGCGTTTGGTGTTGTTGATTGATGCACTTTGTTTCGAAATCAACGAAGATTGTTATATTTGTGCAATTTCATTGTGACTTGCGGAAGAAATTGGAGAAAACGGAATAAAGAATGATGAAGGTTTCAGAAGCAGTGACTTCAGTTATGGAGATGGAGATTCGTTGCAGAGTGGAGGTGATGATGAGGATTGAAGGAAGTGATGGAGATTTAAAGAAAATGAAGGTGAAGATAGGATTTAGAGAGAAAGATTCAAGAGGAGCTTTTGGTTTTCTTTGGTGATGATTCTTCTGAATGTTGAAGAATGAATCGTGATGGTGATGAAGAGAGAAGCAAAAAAGTCAGAGAAAGTTTGAAGCTCTGAGATTTTTCTGGTGATTGTTCAGCAGATTCCAGAATCCCTAATAATCTGGTATGAAACTATTTATATAGCTTGTTAGAGATTAGCAAAATTAGTTAGCGTTTTTGTTACAAATTTGGTTAGGAAGTTGGTTAGAGGTTGTTAGAGTTAGTTGCAAGTTGTTAGCAATTTTGTTTGAGTTTGTTAAATTAGAAATTATGTTTGAGTTTGTTAAATTAGAAATTATGTTTGAGTTTGAACTTGAAAGTTAGTTATTGCTTGTCAAATTCTGTTATGAGTTGTCCTGTTAGTTTCTGTTTTTCTTATTGAACAAATGCGGTTGAACTGATATATTCCTCTTATGATTTTCTCTGCTTTTCTGTTACACAAACATTAGTGAGCCGGTAATTCCAGGTTTTGTATATCCTCCGATTTTGTACAAGTGAATGAGCTAAAAAATATCGGTTCCTATTAACAAACAAGGCATTATGTTGTATTTGTTTATGAATTTCTTGATGCAAGTATTAAAAACTGGTTTTGAATTGGCTTAAAGTTATGAAGCAATTTGTTTTCTCTTAATCCTGTGATGGAACTGATTGATTTTTGTTCATAAGGCAGCTAGTACGTTAGCTTGTGATATGTTGAAGCTTGGCATGAATACACGGGGGATGAAGTTTCTAGAAGAGAGTAGGCTTTCATGTGAACTGACTTGGTTGAACAGGACATCCGGTTCATTATGCAACTCAAGGTTTGATGACAGTGGCGATGCACCTCTTGGAACCATGGAAGCTTGGAGCAAAGATAATCGCAAGCATGAAGACAACTTTCACATGTTCTTTAAACATTGCATTATTATTTGTAATAGCCTTTAGAATGTATTTTGGATACAACTTGTAATAGACTTTGAATGTGGTAACTCGTAATAAGAACCTCTTGAATGTTTAGTCTTTCTTTTGAATGAAATGTGTAATGAACATGAGTTTTTTATAATGATGAACTTTGCCCCTTTTTTTTGGCGAATGAACAAAGAGGAATTTGACTTAAGCTTGAAACGTCGGGTGATGAAATTTATGGGCGGAGTTTGAATGACAAAGTCTTGAAACTTTAACTTTAAAGGGATTATGGTAAAAAATGCTTGAAGACATGAAAGCATCAAATTTTCTTGTAAGGTATTGTTACATTTGAACGAAATTGAATGGAATTGGATAGCATTTTCTTGAATCATGAATGAAAGGGTTTGAATAAACTTTGAATACATGTGAACTTGAATCTGGAATAACGATGAACATCTTTGTAATGCGGGTGAACTTCGACTTGAAACAAGACCTTGCAGCCTGTACCTTACCTTCCAAGAAATTCACATGACCAATACTTAAGGCTCTTTGCCAACTTTGATCCAATCAACCACTTTCAAGCATCTTGAATTCAAATCAAACTTCAAATCCAAATCACACTTGCATTCTCAATGAACTCCTAACTTCAATCTTGAATCCCGATCAACTTGTATGATAAGTAATTTGAATAGACAATAAGATCTTGATCCTAAAAAATTCACAACCTTGCCTTTTGTATCATGCCTCATATTCCACGATTCAATCCACAAGTCCCTTATCTTGACAAAGTCCTTCCCTAATTGACGACCTTGAATCATCAAAGATGGATATAGACAAAAAGGAAAGAGTATGATCAAGATTACCATGAAACTTGATTTCTCCTGATCTTTAATTACTGAACATTTATCAACGAATAGAAACCCTGATTCTTTGGCCTGACATAGGGAAATAAACCCTAAAGTCTAGCACTAATGAAACTGGATGGAGCAGAAGTCCAAAAAAGAGCATGATCAAAATCTTAATTCCAAAGTCTTGTACACCAAGAAGACCCTGAATGATCAGATTTATTCAACCCATACACCTCAACTCAGCTGTAACCCTAGCTCCCTAACTGCTGATCTTTTGAACCTTAGGTGAGCCATTTTTCTTTTGAAAATGCGTGCTATACACATGACCTATTGGAATGATGCAGATGAATGCAAAATCTAAGCCAGCATAAGAGAAATTTATGAGGGCAAATTTTTGGGTGCAACAAGTTTCCTCTTTATTGGACTTGTGACCGACTTAGATCAAAGTTTCTAAGCCACATCTTGCTCCTTAAAAATAAGAGACTCTGAAGAATTTTATTATATCATCAAGGAGAGGCAATTTAAGAGGGATAGTGATAAATAGAGTTCTAGCAATTATCTTTGAGAGAAAGAAGATCTTGTTTCTATCATAGTTTGGTGAGAGTTGGGAGTTATATTATATCTTAGTCGGGTGAGATTGAAAGATATATTCTTCTATCAAGACAGCTTGTAATCCTACTTTTATATAGTTGAGATATTTAATCGGATTAGACCCGGTAGTTTTTTATCCTTTTACACGTAAAAATTTTTAGTGTTATTTTATTAATTTTTGTAATAGAGCGTAATATCTACATTGCAAAAAAGATACTAATATTTCTTAAATGGTGTATTGTAATGTTATATACCCTATATTTGAAATCTTACTGCCAAATTATGTTGTTTGCTGAGGCGTGTTGAGTTTTTCGTATGTCTTATCTCGTCAACCGTCGATAGGCGGACAATTTAAGAACAGTTGCAGCTTGATACAAGTCTTAGACATGCATGCATTAGTTTTCAAATTCTCTCACATCAATTTCCTTTCCCTGCTTAAGAGTTTCCTAAAATTGCAAAAAGAATCTCAGTTAGACAATAGAACAAATAAAGTTAACTTGAAGCTTAAGTTTTCAAGCATAGATTATTGGAACTTACCAGTTTCAGTTTCAAATCAGAGATTGTCTTCTCTCTCTGATGAGCAAAAAACTTCAATGACTGAAAAAGCAGTAAGCAAATCAGTCTTGAATGTGAAATGAAAAAAATACAAATAAAGAAGAATGATGAATACAAAAGAAAGCCATCACTCACTCCAATTCTCTGCATTTCAAGAGACCTTCGCAGTGCTTTTCTTTTTGTTAGAAGATTTTTCGCGATCTTTTCTTTAGGCCGACTATAGTTCTTACCGCGGTAAATAATAATAGCATATCCCTCTTTTAGTTTATCAACCGAAACTAAAATTCCGCCACTCTCTCTTTCCATAAACTGTGCAGTGTAGATGACCCGACTGAGTAGTCTCTGCATCGTTATGACCTTCGCTACTTCTCTGTGTTTCCAATGTTGATGCAGTCCTTCCAATACACCGTCGAAGATTCCTCGCCTTCCTACACTCATTGTAGGGTATAGCTTCTTAGACAAGGCTATACAGACTAACAAATAGAGACGAATCGAAATTCAAGAAGTGAAATTGGTTTACCGAGAACTAGGCAACTTCTCATCTTCAATCCCATCTTTCGGAAACATTCTCTTTCCTCGTCTGTCATTATTTCCAAGTCTATATCCTCTCCAGAAGGATTCCATGCAGCATTTAACTTCGATAATTCTATTGATGATCTCTCTATTTTCTTGTTAAGCTGCAGAAAACATGTAATTAATTTTAAGAGTGTGTCAGAATCTCACAATGAAAAGCTTTATAACAAAGCGAAAAAATCGATAAACCAAATCTCACAATAAAAGCTTTACGCTGTTGCTCTTTCAATTCCTTCTCCAATCTATATATTTCTGCTTCCAGTGGAACGTTTAAATCTACATCGACTTCTTTTATGTTCTCATGCTTATTTCGAATTTCCATATATTCCGTCAAACTTCCACTTGTACTAGTGTCTTGCGGCAATTGAAATTCTTCGATAGAAGAAAAGGCTTGAATTGCTTTCAATCGAGTAACTTCTTCATGAAGTTGACAACTTTTAAGCTCCAATTCTCTCCTTTCTACCAAATCTGCAACTCTTTTTGGAAGGAAATCTTTTCCCCTATAGAGTAATATATAAAACTTGTTGCGCAATAATAGAACTCCTCCGGTGAGACGCTGTATTGTAAAACATCAAAGTTATTCATATCAGTTTCTCGATACATAAACCGAAACAAGCTAAAAAGCAGTGCAATCTGCGAATCTCTCACGACTATTGAACATAAAACATATAGTATACAACATGAAATCCTTACCAATCACTCGAAATTAATAAAATCGAACTCAAAGCAACATGAAAACTCAAGCTCGCACACATAATACAACCGACTAAATTTTCTAAGAAACTTGCCTTCAGTTCATTGGCCATTGCTTCGTTGTCAGTATTCTGAACTCCATACTTGATAGCAATTTTCACTATATGACTCTTGTGCCACAACTTTAAGATAGCAGCAGCTAAGCCTTGAAGTCCTCTATTTCTTCCTTCATAATAAAGATCGAATTGCATCTACTTTTTAGCATCAAGCGTAAAACAAGAAAATAAAAAATCTATAATATATTTTCTGCTTGATAAGAAATTGAAGAACTTAATCAAGAAGGAGGGTACTACCGAGAACAAAATGAGTTGGTAAAGGGTGCGAAATCTTTCTGAAGTATGTTAGTTCATCATCAGTTAGTTTTACACTAGCATGAGGTGGACAAAGCCTAAATGGGGGCTCAAATCCAGGAACCACTTCTGGAAGTAAGTCAGCATCAACCGGAAGCGGCTTGTTCATCCACCAATCAATGAATCGAGGTCCTAAGCCGTCCAATAATCTATCACATTCCCTCTCATACAATGATCCGCTGGTCATTTGGCAATTCATATCCTGGATGTCAGTTGATTGAGAATCCTTATGATCAGCATTCCTACTCAGTATCTCACTTGTAGTTCGGTCGGATTCAACCGGGTAATGATCATCTTCGGTGGCTGATTTAACCTTGCTAGTTTCATAAGAATTTGTTCTTCGACTAGGAATATAGATCTTTGGAGAACCTTCAGAAGTCAACTGATAATTGCAGCCTCTGTAAACCACCAGAGCATCCTTCTTACTCCATACAACCAAGCCACCAGTCTTTGTCTATTCAAACAGGAAATAAACACTATATAGCCATCACATAACATGGAAGGATAACCCATATAGCACAAAACAGAATAATTTGATTGATATTTCGTATCTTTGCTTCATCATAGTTTCATATTACAAGATTCAATAAACAAAGAGATCAATAAGAATGGGAATAAAGAAGCCTAACCTCAACAATTTCTCCAGCTCTATCCATATTTTGACATAAAGGGATATCAAATTTAACCATAGCAAGTTCATTTGTCCTCCAAGTCCTTTTAATTTCCTTCACAACATCTTGTGTAACACCAGCTTTCTTAACCTTGACCCAAATTCTCATTTTTGCAGCCTCACCCCTTAACCTTTGAAGCAACGCCTTATCAAGAGCCAAATCCGCAGAACTTACACTTTTCTTCTTTTCCACCTTCAAAAAATCAATCTTTTCATCCTTCTCCCATGGCATTCTCCCTTTAGTCACAACCTCCTCATTCTCCATCAAACTCTCCAAACTAGCCCCAAAGTTTTCAACTTTTTGAGAACCCATTTGAGTTGCAGTACTGTGAAGCTTCTGAACTTTGTGGGCAATTTTCTTCAAGGCTTTTTTGCCTCTAACTTCTTTACCGGATAAATATTTATCTGAAAGGTCGCGTTTTTGGAGGTTGGAATTGGGGTGTGAAGAGGAATTGAGAAGGTCTTTGGGTTGGAGAAGAAGAGGAGAACTCATCCATGGAGGTATTGGGGCTTTGAAATTGATGGAAACATCATCATCACGAGAATGAGAATGAGAGTTGTTGGAAATTGAAAGGGAAGTGGGTTTGTGGTGACTAAGGTTGTTTTTGGGGTTCGAGGAAAACGAGGAAGATGAAATATGAACAACAGAATATGAATAGTTAAGGAAGAGCATGATGATGATGATGATGTGTCTTTGAT